TATATCCGAGGCAAGGTTTTGGGACTAGGGGGCCGGAAATTTTGCCCACCTAGACTATCGGGCCATGTCAGGGTGACGTAAAAAATCACATTTTATGAACAATATTTACAGTGTAGCAAAAGCAAGAGGGAAAAACGATAAGCCTCGTGTCAATACTAAATTCAATCCTAATCTCAACTAATTCCTTGAGCTATTTTTTAGCTGAAACATCAAAGTTGGGTTTTAGTTGGTTTGTGACAGCATTAGGTGGGCCTAATTGAATTACTCTTTATTTACTCTCTTTTGTATCTTTATTGTATTTCTGGAAACTAGCATTTCTCAGATGACTGATCATGACCAACCAGCTGTGAAGGTGACGTAGCCATGTGCTCTCTGTACTTGAAGGCTGATTCCTGTTGGTGTGTCTTGGGAGTTACTTTGGTTATGTTTATGTTTAAATATATATAAATATAAATATACGTTTTTACTGAGTTAACATTACGAGCCGAAAAAATCCACAGTGGCGTTCCAAGTCAAAATATGCATTTTTGTTAATTTCTCCCTTAGCCTATGTTGGAATCGTTTATTCCTCATCAATAGGCATAAACTACTTTATTTATTCATTTTTCATAGTATCTTTAGCCAGTGATATGTGTAAGTTGCACTCCAGCTTTTATACAATTAGGTATTGTAGTAAAATTAAAAAATATTAGAAATACTATAGCAAAGACAAAACAAATTCGAATTAGCGACATATATGGCCCGAGGCTACGTTACCCCTTTAACCCACATCTCTACCTAATAAGTCGCAGAGGAAACCGGCGCCTACGTTTGGTATCGCTTTATATTTTCTTCCTACTTTTAGTTGATTGTTTGGGTATTGCTTTGAGCAAATTTGGATGAAAAAAATATATAATATAGAGCTGTTAGCACGTTATTGGTATAATCGAATAGGGTTTACATATTTTTCCCAGGGGAGAGAGAGGTAAGCCAATAACATGGCTTAATCATATGGTGAACCGCGGCCTCTCGTCCGACTATCAGTTCATGTCGGGTATGGGATTAGTTAGCCAGTTATTTTTCTCAGATGCACGGACTTGTTTAGCACGATTCGCCACACCGCCGAGCTTGGAACCCATTCTTCTTCTAGTTGATGACCCGAGAAGTTGCGTTAGGAGAAAAGGATTCTGTAAAAGTTCATTTCGAGTACTCGAACCACTTCGCCGTGCTTAAATTTGTGTACTTTAGAAATAGCAAAACCGCTATCGGAATAATTTTACAAATTGACTAAAACAACAAACTAATGGAAATATGTAAAGGAACCGCTTAACCTTATCATAATGGTAACTTTTGATCTTCAAGTGTGTTAAGTTCTAACGAACCAAAGAATGATAAAAATTTATGTTTTTTTTATAAAAAAAAAGGTAAAATTAACATTGATATTATGAAATTTGTCTAATAATAGCGGAAAACGCAGAAATATGTATTTTTAAAATAAATTTTTTCCAACGAATGAAAGAATGATAAAAATGTTTGTTTTTCCAGTAAAAACGTAAATTCAATCTGAGAATATTGTAAAATTTGTCAAAGTTATAATCCAAAAATACCGAAATAACGGTTTTGACATCAAATTTTTAGAAAATTACGATTTAACATTTTAAAATTGCATTTTTGGTATAAAAGCTAAATTCGAATTTTACTACAAAATGTAATATATACCTTTAATATTATATCAAAACGTAAAATTCAAATTTTACAGGAAATTTTTAGAGAAAAAAAAATTAAAAAAATATGTAAATTCAATCCTAATACTAAGAAATTTGCCAAAAAAAGTGACAAAACTTTTAGGCGTTCCAGACATGAAACCGAAGTATACACCACAGTTTTTGTCAAAAATAGAAAAAATCACATTTTTGTGGTAAAAAAAGAAACAAAAATCCACGAATTCGAAGTTTAGCAGCTAAATTTATCATTAAGTTTACAAAATCCTTAAAGATCTTTAAAATCTGCCTAAAATTGCAGATTGATGGCGCCAAAATTTGTCGTCTACAGACAGTTCACCCAAATATTGTCTGCAGTCGCGACATATTGAAAACAAACATAAAAGTTCGGAAACAAAATTCTACAAAGAAAACGATGTTATTTTTATCGCCGATTTAAAAAACTAAAAACACATTTTTTTCAGTTTATTTCACCTATTTTGTTTCTGCACGTTTATTTAAAATTAACGCTGGTACATTTGTCAGTAACCCTGGCCTCCTTCAGTTAGTGCGTTCAGCATCACAATGTCAGCGTAAGCGAGTAAAAAATTTCGGCTCCTAACCTCGGGTCAAAGGTCCTATTCGAGATGCAATAAATTGGGTTGGCAATGCCGAAATGGAAAGTGACCGATCTTTCCAAAACCGGTTTAACGACATCTTAAACCAAGATAACCGCTGGTGTTTTACAGTTGTTCTTTTGTTCTTATACGACCTCTAACCTATAACTTATGACCAGTCTGACCAGGAAGTGTTTGTTTCCTGGAACAATACCGGAAGTATGCAATCTGCGGGACAGGCGCCAAGTCGTGTTTAAACTTTGACCTCTAGTTAACATAAAGAATATCTTTTTTCATACGACGCTTTTTTGACGTATCCCACTTCGAACGAAGCAAAAACAACAACTAATAGTAAAAAGCTACTCTAAATTCAAGGACAAGAAACTTTCCTGCTAGGCATTGCCTAACAAATTCATAACACCATGAGTGAAGTGGTCAGCGTCGGATTTGATTTAAATTGAGATCTGAAACAGCTGATTTCAGGGTTGAATGATTTTTGAACATAATTGTTTTCATCGTGGCTGTTAGTGCATTTGCGACACACACACACACGACAGAAATTTCTTCACTCACAATTGATATACCATGAAAAATTAGTAATGCAATTTGATAGGTAATGAGTTTTGTACGCGTTTTGCCTAAAGGCTAACTCGGGACAAAATGGCCAGAATTTAGACACGCATCAGTGATATGATATAGAAATTTGCTGCGGAAAATGTGATTTTTACTGGATCTCATAATTTACTCTAAATGTTGCTGGTCAAAGTAATAATCTGAGCCCAAATACCTATTTGCCAGACTTGCAGAGTTTCAATAGTCAGAATTCAAAAGTTTCTACTAAGTCTCAAAATGTATGAGTCCACGATCAAAAGAAATGGCGTATATTCTCACTTGTTTAGAAAATGGTTACGATTGAACAGATCCGCCTATATATCGGTGTATTTAAGCGAATTTAGCGAATTTTTTTAATTTAAAAAAAAAACATTTTAAACGAAATGTTTAGCAAAAAACGTGAATTAACAAAATGTAAATTTAGGTTTAACACTATGGAAATTTGTCGAAATAATAACAAAAGTGTCAAAAACGCATTTTGCGTTCGTTACTACTAACGTAAAAACAAATTTTTTCAACGGATTTATGAATCGCTTTGCTATATTGTTGTTCCTGATAAAAAAAAAACGCTTTTTTCCGTACCTAAGAACCATTCGATAATAAGTTTCCAGTACTTTAAACCGAGGAAATCTCTAAATAACCATTTTTTACTATATTTTTTCTGTACATATTTAATTTAAAATTTAGCTGTTTAATTTTAATTCATGGGAACAATTTTATCTAATATATGGGAACACTTTGTATGACATTCATTCGCCAAAATTTGTTCTGTTATTATACTTTACTACAGGGTAACACTTCACATGACATATGGGAACACTTTATAAGAAGTACAGAAACACTTTTTTTTTATTGAACACTTCATTATGGCATACGGGAACATGTTGATATGATATTCGGCCTCAGTGTCCATGACATACCGGAGCCTTTAATATGATATTCGGCCTTAGTGCCCATGACATATTGGAACATTTTGATACAATATTCGACCTTGGTGACTCTATATTTAGCTCTCTTGTTTAGAAAACCGAAAGATTTAAATCACAATTATGGCGGTGCGTGTGCGATCGTTCATAGCGATAAATCAAAGATTACAAATGACAGTTTTGTCTGTTTATATGTTTTATTGTTTTGTGTAAACAACGCCGGCACCGCTTTGGCGAGAGGCAAATCAGACAATATGGCGCGCGCTCAGTCGAGAGTATAGATTTATTTTGACTTCGTAATCAGCATAAAAGACAATAAAATAATTGATGAAGCAAAATAAATAAAACTGATTACAGGATTACTGAATCAAAAAAAGAGAGACAAAAATTGAGAAACACAAAAAAAGAAATATTGCCTGCTAATGACGCATCCACTGTAGTTCTATAGTGTTTCTTCATCTCTTGGCATTTTAACGTCAGTCTTCATGGTCGTACCCAGTCTGCGGGTCCGCCCCTTCCTCCCATTTTTTAAAGTGTAAAAAAACAAATATTTTCCCGTATCATGCATCGCAATTTTCCGTAGCTTCGAACGCTTTTTAGATCCTTAACACTCTTGAACAGCAGACTGTTGCGATCTTACTTTAAAAATACCAGGCTACGCCACAGTCCGTCTCTAACTTTGCTCATAGATAAAAATTGCTCACCTCTGAGTGAGTGCGCGTATTGTACACCATGAATCTATATAGTTTCAAATTTCAATAGCACTTTACGTCAACTAAATTACTGAAATATTATTGCTCAAATTTCCTATAAGCAGAATACCAATACGAATCGAAACCAGAAATTTAAATAATATTTTTTTGTTATTCAGGATTTTCATTATTGTAGTTCAGCGCTTCGAGCCAACGTTGAACATTTTCTCATAAATTCGCGCCAGACAATATCAGTACAGGCTATAACATATCAAAATACAGAAACAAACTCACCATGAGAAGCCGAAATTCTCGTTCGCCTCGTGCAAAATGATGACGTCAGTGATTGATTCCCTTGATTTTTTCCGCTTTTTAGAATTTCCCTGTTTCAGTAGCATACTATTTCCTATAAGCAGAATACCAATACGAATCGAACCCAGAAATTTAAATCAAAGAATTTTTTTTGTTATTCAGGACCAGAAAGTCCAATGCAAATTCAGATGCGATAAAGATCCGGTTTGTGCGGCTCCGATGAACAAAGATGGAGAATGTTGCCCCGTTTGCAAAGGTAGGTGCTAATTATTTTCCTAGACTTACTAAAGTTGTTAACAAACTTTTTGGATATAGTTTTCTGTTCTCCTATTTAATCTCTCCTTTCTCCTATTATGCATGAAAACTATATTATTTGTTTAATCCCAATAGGCTCATTAGATGGTGATATTCGCAACTCGCACTCTGGATTTTGTACAGTTTAAATAAGTTATTATGCGCACTGTAGAAATGTATCACAACGATAATAAATGAGTAGGGTAAAATCGTTTCCTATAAAACAATAATATTTTGGGCTAACGCTAGCTAAGTGTAGGAATATATAGGGTAACGAAAAAACAGAACCCAAGTCAAATTTCAGAGAGAACATAACTTTTGGACAAATCTTGCTATATTACTGAAATTTTTGGGTACAATCGCACAAAAAAATATTGCATAAATATGATTAAAGAAATATGGATTTTTCTCTTTTTTTTTGACTTTGGTGGTGCTGTGGATTTGGATATCCTTAAGCGGTGCAACTTATTTTCAGAGTGTTACTACAGACGGAAAACCTTTCAAACCTCAACAGAGTGGATTGAGGGAGAGAAGAACCCGTGCGAGAGGCTTTTCTGTAGAGTAAGTAATATTTGATTGAAAATTGAAGTTGGAGTTTTTCTGAACATCTCTGGCCCCTGCTCTGCTAAGAAATACATATTTTTATCAGTTATTTTCATCGTCATATTTAATAAAAAAAAAAGACAACAAAAAAAAGGATATATTACAGGGAAAAATGAAACAAATCGAAAACAGTCTACTCTAACCTAATGTAAAAGTGACCGTACATTTGAATCCACGTACATTTGAACTCATGTGTATATCCGCGGGTTCAATCTATATGAGAGTGCTAAAACCCATAGGTTAGGGTTAGTATGGGTTCAAATATCCGTAAAACAAAAAAAAAATTCAACAAATGCGATATATGCAGGTGCAATTGTCGTGGGTTCAAATGTAATGGAACCTAATGTAAACATCAGGAATGATACCGATCGGAGTCCGTTGATTCGATTCGTGACGAAGACAACACAAGAAATTCGAACCCATATCTAAATGACAGAAATCAAAATATTGCTGTCTATGTAAAACAAGAAATGGCTTCCGCGGTGGTCTTTACAACGTCATTTAACTCGCAACCAATCAAATCTGTCATAAACATCCTGTTACTCATCCTAATAGGCAAATACTGTTAAAAATATGCAGAGTATTAAGTAACATCTTATGTCATCAAGACGTACGGTAAAAAGGCGAATGTTTTAGAACAGCAAGCTACAGGGCTCAAGTTCAACCCTTATTTACACCACCACACCCAGAGTGCAAGCTCATCCAAGCGCAGTTTCCCCTGGGCGAACAGAATTCAAAGTTGCTATTTCGAGTATTCGATTAGGAACGCTTCTGTTTTCTATATCCATAAAATCGATAAACATACTTTGAACACATTGATTTCCACACACCATTTAGGGAGTGAACACGGCCCTACCCCTAAAATTTCAAACACACCCTTAATTTTGAGTCTTGAGACTGCAATTCAATTCTCAATATAAATAAAATTATATTTGAATATTGAGAAAGTGGGTGCCTTTTTAATAAGATAATAACAAGGCTGAGTATATTCACTGCTTCTGTGGGTATATTCGACTTTTTGTCACCATTGGAATTCTCAAATTTTGTTGTTGCCTAACTTTGACTGTACTGGTCTGTTCTGAAGCTTTACTACTATGCCAATGTCCACCTTTAAATTTGTTCAATATTTAGTCGGAAAACTAACTATTTTCTATCTTACCACAGGACGGTATAATCACTCGTGCAAAACTACAATGTCACACAACCTGTAAAGATCCTCTACCTCCATCTCCCGGACAGTGTTGCCCATCTTGTCAAGGTGACTATATATTAATTTCAATTTTTTAATTCATTAATCAAATGCACGTTCTGGAATGAAGAAACGGCAAACTATCCCCGTATTCGACCGAGACGCAACTGGGTCGGACGCAACTGGTTGTAAAATTCTCGAAACCTTTCGTGAGGTCAGAGTCGAATTTTTTAGACATAACACGAGCGCCCAAATATATACCCCAAAAATATAAAGTATAGTATTTATAGTTCTATTCTATTCAATTCAAGAGTCTTGCTGCACACAAACACAAATATATTTTTTTAATGTTTCGTCTGACCGAGGTCAGACTTCTTCAGACAAGCTTACATAGTTGTAAAATGCTTGTCTGAAGAAGTCTGACCTCGGTCAGACGAATTGTTACAGAAATATATTTGTGTTTGTGTGCAGCAAGACTCTTAAATTGAATAGAATAGCCATTTACACTCTTGCTACAGCATCCTTGCGTAATAGGCATACGGATCCGCCTGCACAAAGGCATAGAGAGCAAGGAAAGGTAGTTAGTTTTCATGCAACCTCAACTGTTAGTCAAATTTATAGTGTTGTTTTGATTGGTAGATTTCAATTCCCATTATGTTCAAACAATTCATATATAACAAAGTGAAAACACTCTGTGAAATAAGCATTGTGGCCCCCTCCAACTGCTCTGTGCCCACTCCCCTGGAGAGACCCTTGATGGTTAGGAACCGCTGGTATAGAACTCAATTGTTCCAGCAGCTTGTCACAACAACAACACACACTTGGCAAAATGATTGGAATTCGGGCCCAAAAAATATCACAATGCAGATTAGAGTTCCGATTAGCTACGTCTGGGTGGTAAATATAATAAAGCAAGCCAGTTTTTGTCTCTAACTATATCAACAAGAAAAGCGTAAAATACATATAAAACAAAATTATTAAAAGATTGCTATTCGATTTATACAAAATTTTGGTGCCATTTTGTTATTGCACCGTCACTTTTTGTATATTTTGTACCAAGCTCCATTCACTAATGCAAAAATGTGAAATTTGAGAAAAATGTATTTCAAACTTTATTTTTCTTTTCAGGCTGTCTCTATCAAGGCGCAGCATACAGAGAAGGGGAGACTTTTCAGCTACCTCAAGATATGTGCGCAAGGTGTACATGTACGGTAAGATTTTTGGGCACAAATTTTACATATAAATTGTTATTTCTCGGGTTGTTGTCAAAATCGCCTTCTTTACTAATATTAAATTAGTTGTTAATTTGTTTTAGTTTTAAATTCCTATTCCTGGCAGTTAGGAAGCTATTGCTTTTATTTTTATGTTTTCAAAATTTCTATTTTATTTGTCGTTTATTTTATTCTTTTAAAATTTTTGACATTTGACCTTTACGTCTATATATATGAGCCTGTTGTCTGATACAATTTGGTCAAAGCAAGGCGATTCCCGCAAAAATAAAGCAAATTCAACTCTGAGCAAAAGAAATGTTTGGCTAAAGTATTTTTCAAACAAAGATCGATTCATTTTCAGACAAATTCACGAAGGATTGTAACTTTCGACTTTAAAAATACCTCCCAAGTCTTCACCACGCCTTTATACATAATACCTTTATTTATTTACAACCGCTGGCATTTACAAAGCAAAACCGCATTTTATGGCAATTATTTGTGCTATGTTAGTCTATAAATTATATTGTCAGGCTTCTAAAAAAGGTGCCGCCCTTCCTAACTAAATAATATATAACGCACGCTTTATACAAATAAAGAAGACTCTCTGGGACTATGCGCGCGTAATGAAGATTTGTATATAGTTACAGTATAGTGGTCATCCGTAACTTTGCTCAGAGATGAGTCTTCTTTACTCCTGAGTGAGTGGCCGTAACTTTGCTAAAATATGAGTCTTCTTTACTTCTATGTGAGTATCGTAACTTTGCTTAGAAATGTGTCTCCTTTACTTCTGAGTGAGTGCCCGTAACATTGCTCGCAGATGAGTTTCCTTTACATCTGAGTAAGTGCCCATAACTTGGCTCAGAGATGAGTCTTCGTCACCTCTGAGTGAGTGCTCGTAAGTAGGGCTGGGCATTTCGAATCGAATCGAATAGAAAATTATTCGAATCGGTTCAGAGCAAAATTTCGAATCGCCGCTTTTTTTTTTCTTTTGGTCAATGGTCGAGGTGAATTTCTCTTTTTTTTATACTGAAGCCATATTTTTTCAACGCAATTCTGACATATGACTTTTTCTGCAATGAGGTATTGATGAAAACGTGTTTTTTTTATTGTGTGTGAACGCTCCGCAAGCTGTCTGACTGAAGTATGTGTCTTGAGAACCTATTACAATAAGAATGTTACATACAATTTTATATCTCCCAAGTATTCGAGATTCGATTCGACAAAATATTTGACTCGATTCTGAAATCATCAGGTATTCGAAAATGCCCAGCCCTACTCGTAAGTTTGCTCAGAGATGAATCTGTTTTACTTTTGAATGAGTATCTAACTCTGCTCAGAGACAAGTCTCTTTTACTTCTGTGTGGGTGCGCATGGTGCACCGCAATGAACCTATATGATTCCAGCGGTCGATCGCCAGTTTTCTTCGAGATGACTACCCTTCATTAATGCGTGAATGCGCGCGTAGCTTTTTGCGTTTTGGTGATTGTATATGACTTTACTCAGAGATCAGTCACCTCCGCCATATACCTGACAAAATGACATTTTTTCACCTTCTTCTCTTGGGTTATATTTTATACTGTACCCATATATATAAATACTATAAATGTACCTTTACAGAACGGTACCATCAGCTGCTCAAAAGATCCTTGTCCTGTATTGGCTTGCAAGAGAGAAGACTACAGCATGAGAGAGGATGGCTGCTGTTTGGAGTGTGTAGGTACTTGCAATGTACTTGAATCAAAGTATGTTTTACTTTTGTGAGTGCGATGGCCATTGCAGTGATTCTCAGCCTTTTTTGTTAAAATTTGGCGTTCTCGATGTATGTGCAGCAAGATGACGCACAATCTGATTACCCTAATCTGGTACACATACTGTTTTCAGATTGTGCGCCATCTTGGTGCACATACTTCAGGAGGTCAAAAAAACATTGTTACTTACCAATTAATGTTCCTGGGACGATTGAAATTGTGTTATTTACTGATGTATTTGCTTTGTATTAAATATTCAATATTTCAAATAGGTAAATAAATACCTAGCGGAGCCTCTATAGATGTTTTTTCACGGAACCCCGGGGCTCCGTATGGGACACTTTGAAAACTTACGGACAAGTGAAACGCAATTGGAGGTCGTTACTGCGACAAAAGGAACTGAATCGAGTAAAAATCTTACTGACTAAAACTGTTTTAATACTAACAAAAAAACGTCAAAAACCATTAAAACGTGTCAGACGTTAAAACGTTGTCAAAACGTGCAAAAACAATGAAAACTTGTCAAATACCACTAAAACCTTGCCCAAACTCGCAAAAACAGTGAAAACCCGTCGAGTAAAAATCTTACTGACTAAAACAGTTTTATTACTAACAGAAAAATCGTCATAAACCAAACCTTGCCAAAACGTGCAAAAACAATGAAAACTCGTCAAATACCACTAGAATCTTGCACAAACTCGCAAAAACAGTGAAAAACCGTCAAAAACCACCAGAAACTTTGTCAAAACGCGCGAAAACAGTAAAAAAAACGTAAAAATCGTCACTTTGAGAACTTACGGACTAGTGAAACGCAATAGTAGGTTGTTCCTGCGACAAAAAGAAATGAATTGGGTAAAGATCTGACTAAATAAAACTGTTTCATTACTGACAGCAAAACCGTCAAAAATCACTAGAAACTTTGCTAAAACGTGCAAAAACAGTAATAAAGCGTCAAAAACCACTGAAAATCTTGCCAAAACGTGCAAACACAGTGAAAATCCGTCAAAAACCACTGAAAATCTTGCCAAAACGTGCAAAAACAGTGAAAAACGGTCAAAACCATCATTTTGAAATCATATGGACTAGTGATACGCAATTGTAGGGCGTTCGAGTAAAAATCCTATTAAATAAGACTATTTTAAAACTGACAGGTCACCGAATCCAACCCGAACTTGATGGAGGGAGATGTCGAATGCCGGAACGAATTCTACTTCCCGACGAAGCGGTTAGTGAGGATGAATGTACGCGATGTAGATGCAAGGCAAGTAATCTGTCACTCTTCCTATTGGATTTGTTTTTCATCCTCAATGCTTCTTTTTTATCTCTCCCTCCCATTATATTACCCTCTCTCTCTCTCTGTAACAATCTTTTCTCACCCTTTCTCTTCTTTTTTTGCTCTTCTCTTTCCTTCTATTTTCTCTCGTATTTTCTTCTTGTGTCTTGCTTCTCTCTCTCTCTGTAACAATCTTTACTATCCTTTATTCTCTCTCATTCTTTATGTTACAATCTACCTCCCTTTTTCCTTTTCCTCTCGCATTACTGACTTTGTCTTTCTTCTCATTTGTATTTCACTCTACCCCTCTCTTTATTTTCTCTCTAATCTAAAAGTATATTCAGTTCAGAAAGTGTTTAAAAACGATGATACATATAATATACGATGCTCTTGCACATTTTCGCCCTGAACAAGGCATTGCACAAGCAGCCACTGCTATCGTTTGGAAGGCACAAAATTTTTTATAGTTCGCCATTGCCTTCCCAATTTATTTACACCCTGTGTGAGGGGAAAATATTGAAGCCGAGCTGTATGCTTACATAGTTAGTTAACAATATTATCTTTTGCTTCCGTAGAATGGCACTCTGATTTGCGACACAAAAACTTGCCCTATATCACTGAGATGTCCAATGACAGAGTGGGTTTACAGACCTGGTGAATGCTGCCCTCTCTGTCCTGAGGATGTGCCGAGGAAATGCGTGGATTCGAAAGGAAGAACAAGGAAGGTGGGTGTCTAGGACACAAATTTATATGAATTCCATTTCTTCCCCGCGATAAATAAATTATATCGCAATTTTTTTTTAGACTAGACCAGACCATCAGCTCCCCGGGAAACACATATTTACGCCAAGTTTTCTTCTCTCGTGGGATAAATACATAATATCACCCCGGGGATACTGAAACTAAATCTCGTCCCAACCCCCTAAGTAGAAAATGTGTGGTAGTAGAAGGTTTGCTCTTTGTGGGGATGAGACCTAAACTATATACCAGGGCCATTTAAACCAGGCCTTAACCTCTACGAAGCCACGGGGGGAAAATCTAGGCGTCACGTGAATTGGTTTTTACAAGTACTTTTTACTTTATGCAAAGACAGCATTGATTTAAAATAAGATGACCTTGATTTGATAGATTTTTTGTCTGTAATGCATTTATTTTCTCACTCCCGCTTGTTGACTTCAAATTATTACTCAAGGCTCCGGATATGTTTCAAAGTGTTTTATATCCAAATATCAACAGATAGTTATATACTGTAACGTGCTGACACATTTCACTTCCAGCATGGAGCTACGTGGCAAGAGGGGCGTGACTATTGTCGAAACTGCCTATGCGTGAACGCGTCAATCACATGTGAAATCAACCGTTGCCAAGATAAACCTAAAACGTGCCCTGAAGTAAGAACAAATGTATTATTTTATTTTTTCTAAGATTTTACATGAAACAATAAATTGCAGCACTAGTAGTTGTTTAGTGAGAGGGGAATATACTGACCAGTCACGCTTGAATAATTTGCACTGGTACAGTATTCATCCTATCCTCAAGTGTGGTTAACTAATGAAAGGCTGTGATGTTGCATAAAATTTAGCGATTATTCACGTGATTAATTTTTTTTAATATTTCAGGGCAAGACACTGGAACTTGTTCCTGGGAACTGCTGCAAGATGTGCATAGATGGTAAATATCCATGTTTGAAGCTTTTAGGTTCAAGAGAATCAAACTGAAAAGGCACCGAAACGTAGTATGTGTACCAGGTTAGGGTTAGACCATATTTTCAGGTACAAATACTACGAGAGTCACTTGGCTAGTCCCCGAACTCGTGATAGAACTAAAATAAGGAAAATTGGAATAAAATTATGGCCTAACCCTAACCTGATACACATACTACGTTCTGGTTTCCGCCATCTTGATTCACATACTTCAAGAGTACCACTAAAAAACATCAAAACCAGACCCAATTTTACTATTGACCCGATTCAAAATTAAGTTCTTATTTGAATACAGAAGAAGTTAAACATTCAAGTTAATATTAAGCTGAAATCATTAGGTTATTCAAATTCAATTTTGCTTCTATTTCTAACACGACGTAAAAGGAAAGCTTTTCAATTTACTATAGATTATGGTTAACATTCATATTTTTTCTTTCTCAGAACCAGGAGTTTGTGCCGTGTTTGGAGACCCGCACTACAGAACATTTGATGGAAGGCCGTTCAATTATCAAGGAGATTGCCGGTAAGTGGTTGTGTTAGCCTAGCGATGGCCTCAACTGGCGCAGGTGCGTAGATAGGGGGCGTCCCTTCTCCCCCTCCCCCGGTTCAATTGTTAAAAGAATTCTCCATGATACATATTATTATAAATTTTGGTAACTTGAGACACTTTAAGACCCTTAAGACTCTGGTGGTAGTGGAACGCGATCCGAATCCGGACTATTCGGGTATTTAATTCGGGCCACATCTGCTTTTTTATTTAAGCCATACTATCAACGTCGTTTTTTTATCACCTAATTGTAAGAAAAAGCCGTTACCGATGCGCATTATTAAGCATTGCTTTTATGTTTCGTCAAATAATGCATTTGAAATTTCGTTTGCATTGTAAATTGTTTTTGAAATGACCGGACCTCCATAATTTTTATGCTTTCTATACGGTCGAGCCTGATTATACGATTATACTGATAATTTAGTGAAAACAAATCACCCACACTAAACTGGTCGATTGATCGTTTACCTATTTCCAAATCTAGTTCCAACGGTAAACCAGACAAAATTTACCGGTTTATCGTTCAAACACCCGCTACCTAGTTTTAAAATTAATTTTAAAATTAAATTTTTCTATTTCTTTAATATAATTCCGTATTTGTAAATGCGCGCTGAATGTTGTAACAGCAAAATATGGTGATTTACCGGTTAACCGTATAACTATTCCCAGTCGTAGTTTTCTTCATAGATTTCTGTATTAAGTTTCAATATGTCATCGCTAAATTTTGCAAGAACATGAGTTATATTCAACGTGTGACCACGCCAAATTGACCGGTTTACCGTTTCCAGTCCTAGTTACAAATATATTTGTAAAACATAAATAAGATATCACCGAATTTCAGTAAAAACATTCAACCCTTAACCATACAAAATATACCGATTAACCGTTTTCAGTCCTATAGGTATAGTTTTTGTATTTCACAGATATGTCATCGCTAAAGACTGCAAGAGCATGAACTTCTCCGTAGTTGTGGAAAACGACGCCAAAACTTCGAGATCTTTTGCCTGGACGAAAGCGGTTTATATGACACTTATGGGATCCGGTAAGAATAGCTTCATTTATGGACACGTAGTGGACATAGCGATCGTTCCAATAATATGTTGTTGTTCTTGTTCTTGTTCTTTGACACTTTTTGGACACCTAGTAGAAAATCTAAAAAGTCGCTTTTCTCATTGATTACTGGACCAATTGCTTTGAAATTTTCAGTAGTTGAAGATGGAATTTTTTTCTAGAAGGCTATTACTTTAATTTGTTTCTAAATTTTGTATGAATTTTATCAAATTTGATATTTCGTCCCAAATTTCTCTGTATTTTTTTTATCCATAAGAACACGGATTATAGTCCGCGTGAAAACTGACTGTACGTTTTGATTCTGCAAAATTCCTGCTACTGAAAATCTAGAATTTTCTTGATGGTACCGGTAGCGTCAAAGGTACCGGTAAGGTCTGATTCGCTCTCGTCTGCGTGTCCATATATTTGAGCGTTGCTCTCTTGCTTGCTTGTCTGAACGAGGTCGTTTGAATCCTGGTTATCAACGTTTTTGGCAGTGGATAATTTGGGTATTAAAATTCTGATACGTCACTACTGATGACGTCATTTATTTAGTAAAATAATGCATTAGATACTCAAAGTGTCTCTTATGGGGTCCGGCAAGATATTCCCGTGTTTTTATGCTCACAATACGAACTTTCACGACAGAGTTTTATTTCCAAAATTGGACATTAGTGTGTCAAAAAATATAATACAAAATGTAAGCGTAAATAGGGTAAATAAAAACGTAATGTTTAATTTATTATTTAACACTGTCACCCCGAAAAGGGCGCTGTACAAGTAGTTACTAGAAATTTGAAAGGCGCTTGAATGATTGGAATCTTTCCATTCCAGTACAGCTTGCGCTACTCGATTGTTTTTATCGGTTTACGAAACTTCAAAATTGCCATGTTCCGATCAGAAACTTTTTTAACAATCTTGCAAACAAATATTCAAATGGATTAGTTCGCTGACAAGCGCCAACATGAATACCTATCGCGCACTCTCCGCAGGAAACACGGAGTCCGCAGAAATGAGTGCTTGAAATTCTGAGGCATACAAATTTAAGATTTAATTTTTAAAATTTTTAAATATTTTCAGGCAGCAATGGCGAAACTACAGTCTCTCTTCATCAGCGATTAGTTACCAAAGTGAATGATCGAAAAGTATCCTTGCCTTACATATCAAGGGCAGTCTACATCACTATGGAGCGATACATCGTCAAAGTTCGGACAAAAACTGGCGTTTCTCTGAACTGGGATGGTGATAGCTTCTTAGAGGTGACTATATTTATGACGTCATTATACATTATTGCGTCATGAAAATGTGTAACCATTGAAAAATTCATATAACCATTGTGATGTCATGGTCTCATTAGATGTTCATACCAGTAATCATACCAAGCTTTTCAAAATGTATGACATCATCTAAAAGTATTTGTTACGTCATTATTACGCCATACCTAGAAGTAGTCATCAAATACTATTACGTCATTATTCTAGATCGGAGCAACCAGTGCATATAAAGGCCTTCTTTGCGGATTATGCGGCAACTATAACGGCTTTCCAAGAGATGATTTTATTGGTGGAGACGGGTCGTTCAAGGTTGATGAAAATTCTTTTGCTGAATCGTGGAAATCTGAGACTGGAAGATGTTCAAGACCAAATTATAGTAAAGGGTTGGTGAGAACAATCTATTGAATTATTACCGCCTTCTTTGGCTCCGCATTTGGCGTTATAAGACTACTTTTCCCCGTACCGAATGCGCGAATATAACACGGGGAGTCTCGGTAAAATGGCATTATTAAAGTGTCGCAGAAGTACGACTTAACATGTCCTCACTGTGGACTGAGATGTTTAAGCCACAGACATGTAGAAATCAATTATTTTTTCGGCGGACCGTAATCTCCCTTTGTGATATTCTTGTGAGATTTGGCTTGGGGTTGTAATTCGAGATCTGTACCATACGATGCCAAAATTGCTAGGTTTGACGCATCGGGAAAATACTGCTAAATTGACCACGGAAACTGAAACACAAACGTATTTTGTTGATCTCACGTTCATGGTCACAGCCAGAAATTTTCAAATTTGGGGGGTCTGAGATTTTTGTTTGCCGAATTAAATCGAAACAGCTAGCGGTTTTGACCGAACGCCGGAAAACGTGTCTAAAAAACGTTTCATGCTACGAAAAATTGCTATATATGATACAGATACGTTATGGACGTAGGATTTCATGTGATAAATATATATAAAAGTTTCCCTAGAGCCCATATTACTATAGGCGATTGATTCATCGTGCTTGGTGTTTCGAACACACGTGCAATCGCACCTTTGATTACATTCTCTGGTTTGCGGGTTTAATCTTATGAGGTAAATTTATGTGCGAGAGGATTGCTGGACTCCTCGCCTTCATATGTGGCAACGCTGGTTGGTTACGACTCCTTCCACTATCAAATCCATGCTCCTATTACAGACAACTAGTTAACTATTCCTTACGATTCAACTATTCCATGCACTTCAACTATTCTAGGATTCAACTTTTATGAACTGGTAACCGCCTTGTCGACTTTCTCCTCATATGACAATCTTATCTTACTTTTTTCGAAGTAGAAAGACTTCTTGTACATTAGTTCAATTAAATATTTCAATTTTTAGGCCCAGTGAACCGTGCAGTCAAAGCATTATGATGAAACTCGAAGCAAAGAAAAAATGTCAAGTTTTCAAATCAGAGGATTTCAGAGGATGCTACGATAAAGTGGACCCGCGGGATTATTACAGGCCAGTAGAATTTATTATTGTACACAAAGTACAAAAATGGATCATTTTGTTAAGTTATTGTTGATGCGTTAAATTTGCTTTCCTTGGATTTACATAACTTGACAATGGTTGGAACTTCTAGAAAGCTATTACATTCATTTTCCCAATTAACTCCGAGTTCTCCTGGACTCAATTTCTTAACCAGAAGTTCGCTGATTGCTTTCTGTATACCGCGACATTCGGACACTCAATATTTTGGTATCGTTACATTCCAACATTCTGATATTCCGACATCCCAACTTTAAGACCGAAATTCCGAAATTTTGCATCGTTGACATTTCGATTTTCCGTTGATATTACGATAATCGTTATTCTATATTGCGAAATTTGACATTCGACTCATTGGCATCAGGACATTTTGAAATCCGGACATGGCGACATCACGACATTGTGACACCCCAACATTTTTTTTTCCCATCACAAATAAAGCTTGGCTACTGTTACAGGTCCTGTCTCACAGACACATGCGAATGCCCGCCGAATCACAAATGTTCCTGCGAATCCATCCTCGCCTATACTTCAGCGTGTGAGCGGAAAGGAGTCGTCGTGAAATGGGATAGACCAATGTATTGCAGAAGTAAGTGTTTGAATATATTTATGATTATTAGTGAGTTTTGCGGACCCAACTTAATTAGGAGAGTTTGCTCAAACAAGATCATGACTTTGTGTTCATTAGCCAACGATAAATACCAATGGGCGCGAGACTTGAGGCAGTTCTGACCAATCGTGAAAACGGCACTTACTCAACACGTAACAGAAGTTCTTGAAAATTAATTTTTGGCATAAGGTTTTATCAGATGCCCTGGCAGTTAACGATTTGGCACTTTTTCATCCACTGCTTTTTTTTATCTTTGCCTTTGTGTTGGTAAATCCATATGGAATTACAATAATGATACTGTAGTAAGAATTAAAACGGCTCACCTGAGTGGCTTCATTTACCCTTGTTGTAAAAAATTTGAGGAACGTTTACTTTTTTAGACTAACCGCTACAGAATACAATTTGTAAAAGTGCGATTTTTTATTTTTGTCTTGTTTTGTTTTTATTAACCAACAAATTTTATGTCACGTTCTGAACATGACAGACAAGGGACCTTCAGAAGTATGCGCACCAAGATGGCGCACAACCTGAACATAGTAGGTGTGTACTGGTTGGGATTCAGGTTGTGAGACATCTTGGTGCGCATACTTCTGGGGCACCCAGACAAGATATACCATTCTAGAAAATGAGTTGATATGTCGACTTGGACCCATTATCACAATCTAGTATGAGGTAGGAGCCCCCAAATCATAATTCGTGAGTTAAATCTAGTCACGGGTGATCTGTGTCCTAAGTCGAATTCGAATCTGAAGTCGAGTCAAGTCTAAGGCCTAGGACGTCCTCAACACTAGAAGCAATACGGCTCTTTGAGTTTAACTTTTTCAACATTTTCAGAAACTTGTAAACGAGGTAGACGTACGAAATTATTTTCGGCCTAAATGGTTTTCTCGAATTGCAATTTAAGGTTGAGTGTGAATATTTGGTGATTTCAGAATCGAATCGTATCGAGAATATTTGAAAGATATTTATTGGGACAGCTCCTCTAAGCATAAAAAATACTAAAAACATGAATCCATCCCTCAGACACATTGCTCAGAGTTCACATTAAAAAACATGTTTCATCAATACCTCCCAAGAAAGAAAAGCGCATTGCAAAAATATGGCTTCGATAAAAATATTGGCATTTGTGCGTCCAGATAAATAAAACGCGATTCAAAATTTCGTTCTGAACCGATTCGAGTAACTTACTATTTGGTTCGATTTAAATATGCGATTCGAAATGCCCAGTTTTAATTGAAATACATCGTCGAAATTCAATTAATTAAATAACTTGGAATTAATTGTTCAATCTTTTTATTATTTTCAGAGACCTGCAAACGAGGCAAAGTTTACTCTCAATGCGGTCCAGCGTGCAAGCCAACCTGCACGAATTATAAACGATCACACACACGGAACTGTTCTAAGATGTGCGTTGCGGGATGTCACTGCCCCGCTGGATACGCCATACATCGGAAGAGATGCATTCGAATCAGCCAGTGTGAGAGCGCTCTTAGATCGGCAGAGTTGAGAGTAATTCATCGGTCTTCGAATTCAAGGCGACGAAGAAAGCGGACTCAAATTAAAATGAAAAATGACGTTTTTGAAGATAATCCCAATTTTAAAGCAGGGACGTGATATTTTTGACAAAAAAAAATGATTTAGTCAATTTTTTCAAATTTTTATGACTCAATCTACCTCTTTGAAAACGTTTTTCGTTTAATGTGCAGACTGGAAGTCTCGTCCAATCTGGTTAGCGCACGGCATATTTGGTCTCAGCATATTTAGTAGTGATGAATTCTTGAGAAATCTGTTTATCTTACCCAGGGGTATGCTACAGCCCGGGCCACAACCCAGCCCACCAAGTCAATTAGTGTGGTCAACACTCGGATTTTCATGCTGCAAAATTTTTTTATTCAAAATGAAGCTTACCAAAAACAGACGTAGACGTCAGCTGACCAACCAATTGCTGCATTCAGTCTATAAAATATGACTCTCAAAAATTCAAACACAAAATTTGTACTTCTGAAGTATGCGCATCAAGATGTCGCACAACCTGAAATACAACCTGGTACACAACCTGAGTTCAGGCTGTGCGACATCTTGGTGCGCATACTTCAGTAGTTTCCAAAATTTTCTTGAAAACTTGGCTCCCTCACTCTGATTAACGATCTGTAACCGCCGATATGACCGCAAGAAAGATTTATCTTAGGGGTGGGCAAGCACTTTCCTAAGTGGGCCACACTTACAGATAATAGACTTGGTTCCTGACCGGAAGGTCGAACCCAGTATGAATTTATGAATGTTGAACTTACATAGCGTCGATAACAATTACATGCCTGCTTGTTTCACCAATGTAATGCAATAGTTATGTGTTACAGGAGAAATTTCGGACCTCCAGAAGTATGTGCACCAAGATGGCGCACAACCTAAATACAGTATGTGTACCAGGTTAGGGTTCAGGTTGTGCGCCATCTTGGTGCGCATACTTCGGGAGCGCCAAAAGTTCTATTCATAAAAACTATAGTCGTAATTTCAACAGGTGGGATCTGGCCCGTGGGCTGTAGTATGCTTGCCCACCCCTGAATTATAACTGACAACAATGCGTTTTGAAATGCTAAATATTTGATAAATGAAAAAAAAAAAAAAATTTTGTCCGAAAAGAAATTTTACTCCTTGGATTTTATTTTGTTGGACGATTTTATCAGCATTTAAAATATTTCAGCATATTTTCCTATTTTATTTTTTTTTTTTTTTAATTTTTGTTTTATTCAATTTCGGACCGTGATTCGGGAGTGATTCGGGCAACGCAAACGCCAGTTCGAATAGGACAATTCACGTTTTATCAGTAAGATATTTATTTTACTGTGTATATCTCAAGAAAGATTACCATAAATTGGGCTAATATATACACTTTAAGCAAATTTTTTATGAAATTCAAGAATTTGAATATGCCCTGAATAAACTTTAAAGATAAGTAATTGGGCAATAAGGGGATAATTCTAAAGAAGGAATCAATTTTATTCAAATCGATTGTGGTCCAAAATTGTTTTTGTTTTTTTCTAATTGTTTTTTTTTTTGTATTCTTGTCTCAGCATATTATTTTTGCATTCTATTTATTATCTTAATATTCCCAGTTTATCACTTAATGAAATGACTTGGATGATTAGAAATTGCTTCGAATGAATTTTTTGTAGTCTACAGGAGGGCTACTCAACTATTTTTATCGAAGGTCCGCAAACAAAACTTCAAAATTATTTGGGTCCGGTCTTTCCAGAAGTGTTATTTCGGCATCCTTAAACGAGCACTTCCTCGACCGACTAATGATTAGTAGCAAATTAAAATTGTTTATTATGGTGTTATAGTTCTTTTCGTATATATTCAAAACTATGAAAGTCATTTTATAATAGGAAATTCAAAAAGTGGGGCTAATGATCCAAAATAAATAATCAGGTGCGGTCCAAATCCAATACTCGAAAGGTCCGGATTCTGACCGCGGTCCGCCAGTTGAGTAGCCCTGGTCTACAGTGTTTCAGCATATCATTTTTGCCTTTTATTTGTTGTCCGAAATTGACAACGCTTGTTGTTGTTATTTCGGTCTCATAGCATCGCGATAATGTCTCGAGTTTCCTCAATTTGATAAAACTAAATTCGGCCGTCCAAAATTATGTGTTTGGAACATTTTAGAATCTTTGAAAAGTATTTAAAATCGAATTAATTAAATTACCTTTATTATTTTTCCTCTGCTCTAAAAATTCAGCATAATGTTTTTGCATTTTATTTATAGCCTGGAAAGTTTTCCACTAAATTATTTCGACTCTGAGTATTTTATTGAATTATAATACAGGTCCGAGTATCAAGTGGATTCAATATGTCCTTCAGATTTTATCTCAAGCTTTAGAAAGCTTCAAAATTAGAGCTACAGAGGTATGTGCACCAAGATGGCGCACATCCTGAACACAGTATGTGTACCAAGTTTGGGTTCAGGTTGTGCGTCATCTTGGTGCACATACTTCTGGAGCGCCCATGTTTATGGTCTCTTGTACAAATCCCCCGCCAAAAACAGGTCCGCCACCCTCAAAATAAAATAGTACTTATCCACTAACAGTTGAGATTACGTGAGAAACTACCTTTCCTTGCTCTATGCCTTTGTGCAGGTGGATGCGTATGACGCAAGGATGCTATAGCAAGAGTGAAAATAAATATTCCATTCAATTCAAGAGCCAGGAATGCAGGTTGCGCTAAAAAATCCAATTCTTTAATCATATCTGACCTGAACTTTAAATGGATAATTACTAATTTGTTATTGAAAACGTGGCGGGCCTGTTTTTTCAAATGTCACATTTGAGATTTGCTTGATACAAAAATCACAGAATTCAGTCAATTAAGTGAGTTGGAATTGTTTTATACAAAAATGGTGCGTAGATATACGATCACACGCACCCAACATCACAACACTAATCATGGTGGCACTTTAATATGCGTTTTATCTCCTAAAGACATTCTCAAAGAACTCAGTTCCTAAATCTGACCCTGTAACCGCTGAGATCGCATACTCAATAGTGCTTTTTATCGTGATATATGAAAATATCATTAAAAATCAAATTTTTTGTATTAGCTTAGTAGAGTGTCGTTTTCTACAAAAATCCCTTACAACCACTAGATTCAAACGGAAGCATCGAAATTTATCGAATTATGTTCTGTAACATTTTGTCTAACTCAGGAGTTCTCAACCTTTTTTTTCCGTGACCAATTTTTGTTGCACAATATATTCTGTGGCTTATTAAACTTTTCATGAAGGGGAAAAACGACAAGAAAAACAAAAAAAATATGCCCCAAATTATTACACTTTCATAATTAGAATAAAAAATAAAAATTTAGGCCTGAGTAACAAAAAACAGTATCATCGTTTATTGCCACTACAATCAAAAGTAAACTGTAGTCACACAAATGAAACTGAATTTAACATTAACTCTAACAATTTTTAATTGAAAGTGTTGATGTGGCCCAGCGATATTGATGATGTTATGCTCGGAGTGATCATATTGTAATAAAAATCGTTAAATTATAAAATTGGTCGGTATTTTAAAACTACTCGCCAATGAAAATTGAACTAAGTCCAGTTCTGTTACAATTTTCTGAGAAATTTTTATTTTGTGACTGTGCGTACGAGGTTCTGCAACCCCGTGACGTAATATCAATGACGTCATATATTGTTTTTCAACTTTCGGAATCCGGGAATTTTTATAATAAATAAACAAACAAATCGAAAGCGAATGAGATCAAGTGTTTCCGTATTGCGCAAGCTAATAAAAACTAACAGTAAAATAAATTGAATTTTAGTGTTTATGAATTACATGGTAAATAGTGTTTGTGATATGAATATTAAGTGATTGCGTGTTGACTTTTTTATTTTTTCTAAAAGTCTGGGAAATTGGTGCCACTTTGCACTGCGGCCCATGAGTCGATGGCTTGAAACGAGCACGCGACATTACTGAGTCTGTTGACGATTTTAGGGAGGAATTGTTTTTAAGCGAGTTTGTTCAAAGCTGCTGTTACTTATAGCGTTGTACATAGAATATGAGTTTTGAGGGATCAGAACAGTGGTTCCCCACCGGCTAAAAAGTACTTTCTGAAGTAAAACTTATGCACAGTAAACGTGTTGTTCACAGAGGTGTATAATTATGAAGGCGCATTGTTATGGGCAGTTTATCAAAGCAGTACATCGCATCTATTCCGTTAAACGCTAGATTTTTCCAGCGCTGGAGTTGTTGCTCAAAACAAAAGCCCCGAACTGACTGTGGGTGTTGATTACTACACCGAATTAAACAATGTCTTAACGAGTTTGATTGAAGGTTTTAGTTTGTGGAAAGAAAAAAAAATCCAAATTAAAAGTGGCTAATTAAAAAAACGTTTGGAACCGTAACCTGGATTAGAAGGTTCACAAACATAGGGGCTTTATAAAAGCAGAGGCTAATATGTAGTCAGCTACAATACATTGTCAGAATCTAAGTTTCCGAACTTTGCAAAGCCTATCCAATTTATTACACTTGGTAAGATGGAGGACATATAATTTAAATGAATTTTCAGAAAATGTTTAAGTGGAAAGAAGGCTGCTTCTTCAGTATCCCTTAGTCAAAGAAAATGATAATAATGGCTTCTTAGACAATTTTTCTATTTAATTTGCCAGTGTTTCGATCCTTAAAAACATGATAATACATGTATCTGAGGCTACTTTCCAAAGCAAAAGGGGAAAATAACTACAATGTGTTGCCAGGATCTAAGTTTCCGCGGTTTGAAAAGCCGATTTTATTACATTTGGGTGTGAGATGAATAACATACTTTTTAATGCTTATTCGAAGTGAAAAAAGGCTGCTTCTTCGGTATTTCTTAGTCGAAAATATCATAATATTAGCTACATAGACAATTTTTTTTTTAATTTGCCAGGAGTCGTTTTTGATCTTTAAGAACTTGGAAATGCCATAAGTAAAATGTGGGGGCAAGAAAGACAAATTAATTATTCCAGTTCCCAAGGGCTAGGTCGCGAAACTGGTCGTTACCTCCTAAAAAAAAAGTAATTGCGCATTAACAAAAAATTGAGACTCAATATAATTTGGACTGAATTACATTACCAGTAGCTCGTTAAAAATAATGAATAAAAATTATTTTACAGTTTCAATATTTTGATAAAATGTTTTGGATTATTGTCTTATCATTCATAGGAGCCGTCGTTGGTAAGTTCAAATAATATCAAAAAGTTTTGGCAACTTTTAAAAGAATGGAGAAAATGAACCTAATATATATATATATAT